ACAGAGAGAAATATCGATGTGAGAGAAACCAGGGCCTGGGCCAGGGAGCAGCCTGCAACCGAGGTCCATGCCCTTGACCGGAACCAAACCTGGGACTCTTTGGTCCGCAGGCCGACGCTCTATCCACCGAGCCAAACCGGCCAGGACGAACCTTCCCAATTTATGTGCTGTTGTTATCCAGTGAGTTAGTCCTAAGTTATTTTTTTAATTCCACAAACTACACATTGTTATTATAGAATCATAAGTCCATGGAGGTTTAGATTTAACAACATATTTATCATTTTCTTTGCTCAAGATTTCTCCTTGCATCTCAGCGTTTCTACCTGGGATCATTTTTCCTTTCTTCTGCCTCAAGTTCATCCTTTAACATTTTGGTTATTGAAAAAAAATTAAATTATCAAGAAAAACAATAACTCGCTTTTCTCTACGGTGTTTTTATTTTATCCTCATTCTCAGAAAAGATTTTGTCTGGGTCCACAATTGATAGTTATTTTCTTTAAGCTCATTGAAACTATCATTCTGCTGTTTTGCCTTCCACATTACCATTGAGAAGTCAGCTGTTCGTCTAATTGTCATTCTGTGGTAAGTAAAAGGTCTCCTGGTGAGAGGCATTGTAGAGGAGCGGTCACAGGCGTGGCCCCTGGAATCGGACTGCCTGGATTTAAGTCCCGGCTCTTTGGTTTACTAGCTGTGTGACTAACCAACCTCTCTGGGCTTCAGTTTTCTCTTCTGAAAAATGGGGACAATAATGGTACCAGTGCTCCGCTCATAGCTGTGGTGAGGATTGAGTGAACTAACATGTACAGCATGCCGAACAGTTATAGTGCCTTTTCAGTGCGATTTACGTGTGAGCTGTTATTTTTCTTTCTTGATGCTTTCAGGGTCTCCTTATCATTGATGTTGAACAGTTTCATTATGATTTGTCCAGGTGTGGATTCGCTTTCACTTATCCAGTTTGAAATTCACTGAGCTTTTTGAATCTGTGAATTGTTGCCTTTGATCAATTCAGGAAAATTCTTAGCCATAGATCTTCAAATAGTACCTCTGCCCCATTCTCTCTACTCTCTCCTGGGACTTTAGCTTAATTAGTCCTTTTCACTCTATCTCTAGTGTCTCTTTGACTGTGTCTCTCCGTCTTTGTGCTGTGAATAGTCTCAGTAACTTATTAAATCTATCTCCCAGTTCACTGACTTATTTCCGTTGTTTTAATGTGCTATTAAACCTATATATTGAGTTTTTCATTTTAATTATTAGCATATTTTTCATTCCCAAAATTTGTGTTTGGTTCCCAACCAAATCTGCTTGATCATTTTTTAAATTCCTCACCCAAGGATTTATTTATCGATTTGAGAGAGAGAGGAAGGGAGAGAGAGAGAGAGAGAGAGAGAGAGAGAGAGAGAGAGAGAGAGATTCATCCATTGCCTCCCATACATAATGTACATACTTGGATTGGGAACCTGCAACCTGGGTATGTGACCTAACCTAGATTTGAACCCATGACCTTTTGTTGTATGGGGATAGGACTCCAACCAACTGAGCCACACTGACCAGGACACAATGGACCACATTTTAAGAGCAACTATAATTATGTTAAAGTTCTTCTTTTTTTCTGACTGGCTTATTTTATTTTGTTAAGCATGTTATATATATGTATTTTGTATTTTGGTCTGATAAATCCAGTTCCTAAGCAAAAGTCTTTGCTGGTCTGATTGCTGCATTGTTTGGAGCCTCCTAATGCTGCAATGCGGACCCTGAGATGGGGCCAGCCGAAAGGTTTTAAATTGTGAAGGGCTGTCCTTAATATCTTTCCTGCTTTCCGTCCCAGATGTCCCGTTTTCTCCCCCCACCCCCCTTCTCAGTTTATTTTTTTTAAAGGCTCATTCATTCCCATGATTAAAAAAAAAAAGTGAAAAGTTTCCTTCCCAGCTCCCAGTCCCTTTCCTATTGGCAGCCTCGTTTATTAGGTTCTGGTGGATACTTCCAGTGATATTTTATGCAGAGTCTAGCAAATACAAATTTAAAAAGTCTTTTTCTCTCTTTTTAGTGCAATGGTAGCACATGACACATACTGTTCTGAACTTGTGTTTCAGTAAAAAAAATGTTTCCGGTTATAAAAGAAATATGTGCTCATTTTAAGTAACATAAATACCCAAGTGCCTATATGTGGAAAGCAAACCCACCCCCTGCAATTTCATTCCCTAGAGATAACCTCTATTATGCAACTATAACTATGTATTTACATAAATGGGCTTATGCAACAGATACTATTCTGTCAGCTATTCTTATTCTCCTAATAGTACAGCATGACATCTTACCATATCAGTCTGTGCTGCTGCATAACTCAGCAGCTTAGTGCCTGGGCTTTGAGGCAGACAGAACTAAGTTCTGATCCTAGCTCCACTGCTTAGGAGCTACGGGACTTTTCAGATCCTCTCTGAGCCTCAGTTTCCTAATCTGTAAAATGGGGATAGAAATAGTACACACCTCATAGTGTTGTTCTGAGACCTTCATAAGATTACATGTGATGTGCTTCCTCCAGGGCCAGCTACCTTCTAAGCACCTGATGAATAGTAGTTTATATTATGACTCACCTGTTTTTTTTTAAAAAAAAAAATATATATATATATATTTATTGATTTCAGAGAGGAAGAGAGAGATAGAAACATCAGTGAAGAATCATTGATTGGCTGCCTCCTGCACCCAATTGGGGATTGAGCCTGCAACCCAGGCATGTGCCCTTGACTGGAATTGAACCTGAGACCCTTTAGTCTGCAGGCCAATGCTCTATCCACTGAGCCAAATCAGCTAAGGATATGACTCACCCCTTTTGATGGCTACATAGACTCCATAGTACGACACGTCACTTTTTATTACCCATCCCCCCTTTTTAAATTTGATTATTTTTTTAAATCCTCACCTGAGGATATTTTTCCATTGATTTATAGAGAGAGTGGAGAAGAGAAGGAAAGACAGAGAGCAATATATGGTTAGTAGCTTTGTGTTGGTGTTGTTTTTCTAATATATTTTTATTGGTTTTTATAAAGAGGAAGGGAGAGGGAGAGAGAAAGAAACATCGCTGTGAACGAGACACATTGATTGGTCGCCTCCTGTACATGCCCAATCAAGATTGGGGAGTGAACCTGAAACCCAGGTATGCGCCCTTAACCAGGAATCAAACCCGAGACCTCAGGTGCTCGGGCTGATGATCTAACCACTGAGAACACCGGCCAGGGCTTAACCATTCCTCTTTGATGAACATTAGATTGTACTCAATTTTTTCTGGTTATAAATACCAATGCAGCGAACACTGAACGTACATCTTTCACCTCTGTGGGTCCCTAGATCCCCTGAATTCTAACCTCTGCCTCCTCTTTCTCTTCAAGGAGGAAATGAAGATGTCCCACGGGGTGAAGCGTGTGTGCTACGTAGGTCTTTACTTTTCATTACAGCCCTTCTTCCTCCCTCTCCCCAGGTCTGGTGGGATGGGGGCTCCTCCAATTAGTGGCAACCCCAGCCCCCCGCCCCCCGCACTGGGGATGTGCCCGCAACCAAGGGAGAGCCCCCTAGTGCTCCCACTCCCTGTGATGCTGAATCTCAGACTTTCACCTTCCCCCATACCTTGGAACCTGACCATTCATGGTCATTTATTCAGGGATTACTTTTCAGACCCATTTGCTTTCACAACAATTCCCCATAGTTTGCAATAAAGCAAATGAATCAAAACACTTAAAGCAGGATTGAAGCCTAAAGAAAGCAAGAAAAAGGAAAGGAGAAAGGGAAATCTTGTTACAACACCCCCGCCCCCCCCCCCCGTTACAGTAATCAAACAAACAAACAAAAAGGCAACCATAGCGAACGGGAGAGCAGGACAGATGCTTAGCTATTAGAAGACCAGGACCCCACTCTGACCTCCACAGTCCCCCCTGATGAGATGTGTCTAGAATCAGGAGGGTGAGAAGGGTTCAGTCAGCTCTGAATGTGTCTGGGCGTGAGCGGGGAAGATGAGAGAGAGGTCGGAAAGAAGATGGGCTCCTCTCCTGTGACACAGGCCAGGCAGTTAGCAAGCCGCGATTGACCCTACTGTGTGCCAGGCCTTTAGTAGGCCTCGGGAATAGTGTTCTCTGGAGCTTAGAGTGCAGTTATGGGGGGGGGCGGGGGGGGGCGACATAAGCACTTTGAGGTGAGCCCCGCCCGCATGGCTCTTCTCCCCCTGCAGGTGGATTCCGGGTCGGTGATCCACCTCCTGGGGGCCATCAGCCCCGGGCAGGCAGCGGGTTCGCGGCCGCTGAAGCTGGAGCCCCTGGAGAACATGATGGAGGTCAGCGCAGCCTCACCTGCCCAGAGGCCCAGGAGGAAGATAAGGCGCCAGGCCCACAGCCCCACTTGGTGCCAGGTACAGACCACGCGCGTTTTAGTTTCATGAAGGGAATGTGGTTCTTCACTTGGGCGATGTCTCTCAGTCCTGTGAGAGAGACACCCTCACACCGACTCGCAGAGTGGCCACTGCAGCCCAGAGAGATGCTGTTGCTCCCGGTCACACAGCAAGCAACGGCCAGAGGGTTAGGCCGCCACCTGGCCGTGCCGGGGGTCTGCGTGCTGCTGGCTCCTGGCCACCCCAAGTTCTCCTGGTGGCCTCCCTCAGGAGGGACAGAGTGGGGCTCTGGTGGCGTCGCTGACCCCGTCCGCCATCTGGGAGCGGCTCCCTGGCCCTCAGGGACCCCACTCCTCCTCCACATGCTCTTTCTCCTGCAGGAGGGGCTTCCTGTTCAGGAGGCCCGTGCAGAGTGGCCAGGGGTGAGTGTGCCTGCCCCTGTCACGCGGCCTCCTTCAGGGAGAATGTGGGAGAGGGGGTGTGGCTGGGGGAAGCTGTGTCCCTGCGGGGCCGCGGGCTGGGCCCAGCCACCTGGCCTTAGTTCCCCCGTCGCCCACAGTCCAGTCCAGTGGAGTCTGAAGAGGAGGAGCCCGAGGAGCCCGAGGAGCCCGAGGACCAGGACTGGGAAGAGGACTCAGGTGAGGGGCTGCCTGTCTTCCGAGGACTGGTGGGGACTGAAGCGGGGTGGTGCCCAGCAGTCCCTGGGAGACAGGATATGTCTTTTCTCCCCTCACCCCCTAGTCAGCTTCTAGTCCTTCCCCAAAGAGGTAGGGGCTGGTGGCTGCCTGGGCTCAGCTCTCAGGCAGATGGGGGTGGGACAGGGTCCCTGAGACCGGACCCCTCCTTTCCCTGCCTAAGCCCCTCAGCACGGAGTCACTTCCTCCCCTTGCCTGGAGCATCCCCTGGGGAACCCTGATCCTTTTTCTCCACAGCTCAGCTTCAGCTCCAAAAGGACATTGGGGTACGGCACACTGTGGTCCGCGTCATGAGGAAGGTGCTGTGGAGCCGGTAAGGCCTTCCTCCCCACTGCCCTGACCCCTGACGGCTACCACCACCTCCCTGGGCCATGCCGTGTTCTGAGGCAGGGGTGGGGAACCTTCTTTCTCCAAGGGCCATTTGGATATTCATAACATCATTCGCGGGCCATACAAAATTATACCTAAAAATTAGCCTGCTATAAAAAAACATTAGCCTACTATAAAAAAAATAGCCTGCTATAGTTGGTCAGACATTTAATTAACTCACCCCGAGTGCCATGGCAGGGCCAGACCAAATGATTTTGCAGGTCTCATATGGCCTGAGGGCAGGGTGTTTCCCACGTGGCTTCCAAGGGCTTTTGTGTGTATGACGAACCCATTTTGTAGCCGTGAGGTCACTTGCCCACACAAAGAGTGAGAAGAGAGACGAACTTGACCCTGGGCCTCTGTGGCTTCAAGGCTGCGCTTTCCCATTAAGCCCCTGTGGCTCAGGGTCTGCTCAGGTCCTTGTGGGTGTCACCGCAGCAAAGGTTTTCAGATCCAATGAGACTGTGGTGGGATCTCAGAGATCTCAACCCAGGCTCTCATTTACCAATGGGGAGACCAAGGTCCAGGGAGGGCGGGACTTTGCAAAGTCCCAGCAGCCTTTGCCAGTTTGGCTCAGTGGATACAGCGTCAGCCTGTGGACTCAAGGGTCCCGGGTTCGATTCCAGTCAAGGGCATATGCCTGGGTTGCGGGCTCGATCCCCAGTAGGGGGCGTGCAGGAGGCAGCCAATCAGTGATTCATTGATGTTCCTGTCTCCCTCTCCCTTCCTCTCTGATAGCACAAAAACAAATTTAAAAAAATAAAAAATAAAAAGCCACCCAGCAAATCAATGGCAGATTCAAGGTTTCACCCATGGCCAGGGCTCCGTCCTCTGCCTTGGCTGATGCCCTCCCCTCCCCAAGGCTGTCTCCCCTTATACTTTCCCCGGTCCCACTGGCCAGGGCTAGAGCGTGAGCTGAGCAGTCAGATTTTGCTTCGCCACTAATGTGGCCTCGGGCAAGCCCCTTCCCTTCCCTGAGCCTCAGTCACCCCTTCTGTAAATGGAGACTGATAACACTTGTTCCTCAGAGAGGTGGGGTGAGAATAAGTGGGTCCATGTAGGAGAATGCCCAGAGTCAAAACAGAGTTGGCCCAGACCCTGCCTCCCACCGTATCTCTCCCTGCCAGCCGAGGGCCTGGGCCACCTCACAGCTCAGGGCCGTGTCCCCCACAGCCTCCGGGAGCTCCCAGACGTGGCGCTGAGTAAGGAGGTGGTAGAGGGCATCGCTGCTGGCATCGAGGCAGCCCTCTTCGACCTGACACAAGCCACCAACTGCCGCTACAAGACCAAGTACCGCAGCCTACTGTTCAACCTGCGGGACCCCAGGAACCCCGTGAGCGGGACCGGGGGCTGGGCCGGCCCCTCCGCGGCACCCAGCCCGGCCTTTGAGCGGGTGGGGCTCTGAGTGGTGTGGTGCAGCCCCTGCCCCTGCCCTCCCTGCAGGACCTGTTTCTCAAAGTGGTTCATGGAGATGTCACCCCCCACGGCCTGGTGCGGATGAACTCAATCCAGCTGGCCCCCCAAGAGCTGGCCCGCTGGCGGGACCAGGAGGAGAAAAGGGTGAGGTTTGGGGTCAGGTCAGGACAGGTGACAGGATGGGGAGTGGTGTGGAGGGGTGACCCGAATATGGAGCAGGGAGAGAGAGACAGAGCAGAGGGCTGAGGGAAGGTGGTGAGACACGGGGAACACAAGGCGGAGAGAAACATGGAAATGAGGAAACGAAAAGAGAGCTGGCAGACAGGGAGCGAGCCAGAGAGACTCCACCAAAACAATTAGGAAAAGCGGCAGAGAGGAAAGGGGTTAGGGATGGAGAGCTTGGTAGAGGAGCGACACCCCGAGAGGTGTTGCCTTCCACTGGCTTTTCTGTGAAGCTGGGCTTGGGGGGAGGGTGGGCTTGGGGATGATGGTCCAGACTCTAGAGTTCATGCTTGACATCTGCCATCCATGGGGAGTAGACCCCTGGGGTGCCCCTGTTCCCATTCCTGGTGCCCCAGACCGGGTGAGAGACCCCCTGTCCCCACACTTCACAGTTATAGCCCCATATACCCTGTCCATGGTCTCTGCTCCCTGGGAACTGTTCAGGGGCAGGGAAGGTGTGGGCACCGAGCTGGCCTAGGGGATTTGTGTAGCGGTTTTTGTGGCCCAGTGAGAGAGGGAAGGACTGATCTAGGGAGCGGGGCCATGGGATGGGGTGGGTGCTAAGGTTCCCGTCCTGGTAGACACTGATTAGAATGAATAACTAGAATCCACTAGGTGAATGTGTGCACTACAGACTGAACTTCTGTCCTGGCCCCGTGGGGACCAGGGCACAGGACCAGCTGCACAATGGGGGGTGGGGGCAGGTGCTGAATGAAAATGCAGGGCCCTTTGTTCAACACGATAAGGAATTTCAAGATGACAAGGGCATTAACCACGGGGCTCGTCTAAGCACAGAGCCTGCGCAGCTGCCCCAGAGCCTCCCGCACGAAGCCCGCACTGCCAGGGCGGACGGGGCCCCGGCCCTCTGGGGTGGCTAGAAAGGGAGGAACAGGCTTTCAGGAAACATTTCAGATAGGATGGCCTTGATCAGTACTAAGAATCACAAGTAGCCTTTACTATGAGCCAGGTTCTGGCGGAGTACCCTACGTGTGCTGTTTAATATAATGCTCTTAGTTTAATCCCCGGAGAAGAGAAAAAATGAGGCTTAGAGCAGTAAAGCGCTTGCCCAAGGCCACTACCTTGTGGGTCTCTTATATTAATGGCCCAGCCGGCACTCCAGAGCCTGCGCGCCTCCCAGGACAGATGGTGGGGTGCACTCAGGAGCAGAACTGACTGTGCTGGTGCAGGCGAAGTTCAGGGCACGCTGAGGAGCAGGGCTTGTGCTGGAGGGTGGATGAGTGGACTGTGGAGAGGTAGGCCTGGGGTGGAGGGCTTTCCGGGTGAGGGGAATGGCAAGAGCAAAAGTGTGGGGACGGAAAAGGCCGGCATGGAAAGGACCATAGGCGAGAGGCCTCGAGGGAGGACAGTGAGCACTGGGGCTCTTGGGGCCAGAGACCCTCCTGCATCCGGCTGAGCGAGGGCTCTCCACCCCCAGGGCCTGGAGATCATTGAGCAGCAACAGAAGGAGCTGTGCATCCTTCCGACCTCCAAGCTGACCCACAAGGGCGAAGTCGAGATCCTGCGGGACACGGACCAGATGCTGACCCTGGAGGACCTGGTGGTAAGCGGAACCTGACCTGGTGCTGGGCGGGGCCTGTGCCCCTTACCTCGCCAGCTGTGTGGCCTTGGGCACGTCACCTGGCCACTGTGCGGCCCACCGTCTTCATTGTAAAGCGGGGTAATGATCTACCATGCAGAGTCCAGGTGAGCCTGGGGCCAGGCAGCCCCCGACCCAGGGCCTGGCAGCTCCTCCTCAGTGCCGGTTCCTCTCCTTCTGACCTAACCCCAAGGGACCCCACGTGAGTGGTCCTGTCCCGGCAGTCCCCCCCAGGTGCCCGGTTGGGAAGCAGGAGGGCCACACTGTTGGAGGCAGTGTCCTGTGTCTGGAAGGAGCAGACCTGCTTTATTCGGCAGAAGGAATTAGGGGTGCTTCAGGCGGGGAAGCACCCAGATCCCAGGGCAGTCGGTGCAAAGTATCCTCTTATCGCTGGAGATCTGCTTTGTCCTTCTGTCCATCCGGCTCCCTCCTCCTGCTTGGCCCCTGCGCCTTGCACATAGCCCGACACGGCGGCTCAGCAGCCCTCCATCCCAGTCAGTGAGCCCTCCAGCCCAGCCTCCTGCAGCTGTCAGAGCTCCCCGGGGCTCCCTCCCGTCACTCTCAGAGGCGCCCGGCTCCTGTTGGGTGTTGTGTGGGTCAGATGTTCACACCAGTCTGATCAGCTGTGTGTCCAGGATGGGGAGTGCAGGGAAGGTCCCTGGAGCTATGTTCACTGGGGAAATGGCAGTGAGCATGGCAGACAAGGTCCCTGCTTCTCCCAGTCAACATCCAGGCCAACAACCAGAGCTGCTGCCTGTGCAGAGAGGAGCCTGCGGGGATGTGGCTGCTCTCCAACCAAAACCAATCTGTATTCCCTGAATAGATCTAATGTAAGTGCAGGGGAGGAGCTAGGAAGACCTGGAGAGAAGAGAGAGGGGAAGAGTAGGGGGTAGCAGAGGAGGGGAGGGAAAGTAGCACACAACAGTCTTGACTCCTTGCTGAAATGTACTCCTGAATGAGGAACCTGAAGCCATTTGCCCAGGTCACCTAGTTGGCAGGGGGGAGATGAGATTTGAAGCCAGGCTGTCTGACTCCAGAGCCTGGGCCTTGGCACTACCCTGGAGATGGTTTTTAGGGCAAAAGTAGAGGTTAAAATCTTTAAAAAAAAATTTTTTTTTCTTGATTTCAGAGATGGAGTGGGGGGGAGGGAGGAGAGAGAGAAGCTGATCAATGATGAGAATCATTGATTGGCTGCCTCCTGCCTGCCCTACACTGGGGATGGAGTCCGCAACCCGGGCATGTGCCCGGACTGGGAATTGAACCGTGACCCCCTGGTAACAATGACGACATACAACCACTGAGCCATGCCAGCCGGGCAAGATTAAAATCTTCTTGAATCTTCCTAAGACAATGTTTAGTTTGTGTTTAAAGCTGCTTCTGTTATGACGAAGAAGGGCGATTTGGCCATGAGCATCCAGAGTCTTAAAAGTGTTCATTCTCCCTGATTCTGTCATCAGCTTATGAGAACTTGTCCTAAGGAAATAGTTGAAAGTTTAGGAAAATATTTCCTTGCACAAGGATGTCCTCAGAACCAATTGTAACAGTGAAAACCTGGGAATGACCCAATCGTCCGGCCCGAGGTGGTGCGTACACTGCCACACCCCTCATTCGTGTAATAGCTACAGGGACTGTGGACCGGGCAGGTGCCGCTGCTGTCATTCAGGGACACGACGAGGATCCAGGCAGACCTTGTGTTATTGCGCTTCTGCTTTATTGTGCTTTGCAGATACTGCATTTTTATTTTTATTTTACAAACTGAAGGTTGTGGCCACCCTGCATCAAGTAAGTCTATTGGCACCAGTTTTCCAACAGGCTCAGATGATGATTAATTAGGCTTTTTTTTTTTTTTAACAATGATGTTGTTGCTTTTTATTTGGGGTAGCCTAAATTTTATTTTGGTGACACCAAGATACATGAAATATCTTCCTATATTTCATACTTTGCTCTATAAATAAACATTTTTATTGAACTTATTGGGGTGACATTGGTAATACAATTATATAGGTTTCAAGTGTACAATTCTATAATATAATCTTGTATACTGTATTGTGTGTTCACCTCAATAAGATATTTTTAATTAAGGTAGGTACACTTTTAAAAAATATATTTTTATTAATTTCAGAGAGGAAGGGAGAGAGAGAGAGAGATGGAAACATCAATGATGAGACAGAACCATTGATCAGCTGCCTCCTGCATGCCCTCCACTGGGGATCGAGCCTGCAACCCGTTGCATATGTCCTTGACTGGAATCAAACCCAGGACCCTTCAGTCCGCAGGCTGATGCTCTATCCACTGAGCCAAACCAGCTAGGGCTAGGTACACTTTAAACAAAATTATTTGTTAATTGATTTTAGAGAGAGAGGAAGAGAGAGAGAGAAACATCGGTTTGTTGTTTTACTTATTTATACATTCATTGATGAATTCTTGTATGTGCCCTGACTGGGGATTGAACTCTGGACCTTCGTGTACTGGGATGATGCTCTAACCAACTGAGCTACCCAGCCAGGGGGCACACTTTTTTTTACACGTGAGGCTATTGAACACTTAATAGACTACAGAATGGTGTAAATATAACATATATGCACTGAGAAACCAGAAAAGTCATGTGACTCACTGTATTGCAATATTCGCTTTATTGTGGAATGGAACCCACAGCATCTCTGAGGTATGCTCTAAATGTTGAATATATATAGGGTGTCCCCCCAAAATGTATACACATGTTAACAGCTGATAACTCACTTAATTTTCACTCCTTTTCAGGTTTAACTGATTTGAAATAATGGGTGAAGCCAGACTAAGCTTTGGACAAAGAAAATTTATCCTAAAGTGCCACTAGACATTTTTTAATGGGGATACATAAAAGATAAAGTTTACGGTACAAAACCCGGCATCAGTCGACGAATTGAGGGTGCACAAATACTGAACAAAATGATTCTTGATGTTTGCGATTCCATTGCTTCACCTTATCAGCAGTTCCTGGACCAGAATAGTCATCAATTTGAAAACAGGCAATGACAAAACAAATTATTAATTTCTGTAGATTCTTTTAAATTTTGAAAGAGAACTGTATGTTAATAAACACTGAGTTTATAATCATTCAAAGTGTGTATACATCTTTTTGGGACACCCTGTATATGTATATTTTTAATATTCACCTGAGGATATGTTGTTTTTATTTTTATTTTTTTAAATATATTTTATTGATTTTTCACAGAGAGGAAGGGAGATAGAGAGTCAGAAACATTGATGAGAGAGAAACATCGACCAGCTGCCTCCTGCACATCTCCCACCGGAGATGTGCCTGCAACCTAGGTACATGCCCCTGCCCGGAATCGAACTTGGGACCCCCCAGTCTGCAGGCCGACACTCTAGCCACTGAGCCAAACCGGTTTCGGCAGGATATGTTGTTTTTAAATTGATTTTAGAAAGATGGAGGAAGAAAGGGAGGGAGGGGGGAGGAAAGGAGGGAGGGTGGGAGAGAGAGAGAGGGCAGAGGGGGAGAGAGGGAGGGAGGGAGAGAGAGAGAGAGAGAGAGAAACATAGATTGATTGCCTCACATACACACCCTGATTAGGGATGGAACCTGCAACCTGGGTACGCACCCTGACCAGGAATCAAACCTGCTACCTTTTTGGTGTATGGGACAACGCTCCAACCAACTGAGCCACCCGACAGGAACAGGTTGAATATTTGATCCTAGCTATTTTAGTTAAAGATCCCTAAAACCTTTGTATATATATATATATAAAATATATATATAAAGGAGTACCCAGAGTACCAACAGTTGTCTCTAAGTGACAGGACGGGGTGATTTTTTTTTTAATTTTTAAATTTTTCAAATTTTCTTTAATGAGTCACAGTACTTTTGTAATAAAAGAACATATTACTTGGAAGAATAAAACCACATCCCTGAGGCTTTCCGCTCATGGAGGGCTCCTGACTTCCCCAGCTGCCTTTCCAGGCCACCCCCTCTCCCTATGCCTCCCAGAGACCCATGATGTCCACAGACTGCAGCCCACTGGCCCTGCCTGCCATGTCAGAGGACCCCACAGAGCAGGAGCAGGACCCCATGGAGCAGCAGGACCCCACAGAACAGCAGGACCCCCTGGAGCAGCAGGACCCCACAGAACAGCAGGAACCCCCAGAGCAGCAGGGGGAACCCCCAGAGCAGCAGGACCCCGCGGAGCAGCTGGACCCCACGGAGCAGCAGGAGGAACCCCCAGAGCAGCAGGACCCCACGGAGCAGCAGGGGGAACCCCCAGAGCAGCAAGGGGAACCCCCAGAGCAGCAGGAACCCACAGAACAGCAGCAGGAACCCACAGAACAGCAGGAGGAACCCCTGGAGCAGCAGGAGGAACCCCCGGAGCAGCAGCAGGACCCCACAGAACAGCAGGACCCTCCGGAGCAGCAGGACCCCACAGAACAGCAGGAACTCCCGGAGCAGCAGCAGGACCCCACGGAGCAGCAGGACCCCACGGAGCAGCATGAGCACCACTTCTTTGACCCCAGCTGCCACATCTGCAACGGTTGTGGGAGACACAGAAAGGGCACAGAGGGGCGGGCAGGCTGGGCGGGGAGGGTCAGCAATAATAGGATGTGTGGCCTGGGGAGAAGGTGGCAGGGTGGGGGTGCCTGTGCCCCAGGTCACTTCAAAAATCACCCGCTTCAAACCCTGGCTCTAAAGCCCTGGCTGGGCTCAGCCTGGCTGCCAGCCTGTTTCAGCTCCTGCCTCTGCTGTTTGCAGACTGGAAGCCCTCGTGTGCGCTGCCAGGCTTCTCCCAAGCCAACAGGAGGGTGGAGGACAATGTCATCCGGAGAGCCCCAAGCCCAGAGATGTCCTCTCCAGAGATGCCCCAAATCTCCGAGAAACCTCCCATGGAGCCCCTGGACAGGTGTGGGGCTGGGGCAGGGAGGTGGGGGGAGCCACCCCTGGGACAGCAGGCTCGGCATGGGTTTCTCTTTCTGTGTGGCCTTGGAAAAAACGTACCTCTTCCGTGGGTCTCAGTTTCCCCATCATCCCAACCTACTGGTTCATCCCCGCATAACGCCGTGCTTGGACGAGTGTGCTACACCCGCAGTGCGGACACGGGACCTTCTTGGAAAAGTAAGGAGATGCTGGGGGAGCCCTGATGACCTTTCTCCCTGGCCCTCTCTCTGTCCTTCCCTCCAGGCTGCAGGTGTCTGCAGGGCCCACAAAGCCCCCCTGGGAGGGGGCTGTGGCCATGTTCTCCATCAAGCAGTTCCGGGTCAAGGCCCAGCTGGTCTCAGGACACAGCTGTCAGCTCATCATGGTACTGCTGCCCTACTCACCAGGGTCTCCCTCACACACTGACCAGCCCAGTCAGTTACTCACACCCTCATTCATTCATTCAATCATTCACTCATTCATTCATTCACTCATTCTAAGACCCTCTCTATGCCTGGCCCTGTGCTAGACATGGGGACAAATGAGATGCCAGCCCCACTCCTGCAGACACACATGGGTAAAGGACTCCCTGTAACCCAAGGCATAGAGCAAGAAGGACCCAGGACAGCGGCCTGTGCTTCCTTGGCCCAGAGGAGATTTTAGAAGTGATTGTTAAGTGACTAATGATCAGCGAAAGTGTGGGACGAAGGCGGAAGATCAGAGGAGGGAGTGAGGGCCTTCTGAGAAGTTGTAGGAGATTGGCCAGGACAGGACGTAGGCCTCCTGGGGCAATAAGGGCTTCCTGGCAGCCACGTGGGGTCCTGATAGACTAGTTGCTCATCCTCTTCGTCATAGGCCATGGCTTTCAGGTGGCTTTCAGTGTGCCCTCAGTGGCTAGGCATCTTGGGGGCTGACTGGCCATGCTACCTCCCCCAGACCCTGCCCGAGGTAATCCGCTCAGCAGGCTGCATTCCCTCCAGCACCATCTGGAACCTTCTGGCTAGTGTCTGCCCAGCCAAGGCCAAGGTAACCACCCACCCTTGCATATCACCTCTTCTGCTAGCACCGTACCCCCAGCCCTGTGCCCCTCTCTCTCTGCCTCTGGAGCAGAGACCTGGTGTACAATAGTTGGGTTGAGTTCCCACTGTGACTGCAGGCTTACAGTGTGACCCTGGACGAGGCCCTCTGTTTCCTTCTCCGGAAAATGGGGATGCACTTCCTCCCAGCGGGGTTGCTTGCAGGAGGGAAGGACGACTGCTCCTACAGCTGCTGTCCTTCCTGCAACTACAGGACGCCTGTGTGGCCAGACTGTGCCCCCAGGGGGCTCGGGACACCCAGAACTGCCACCTGCTCTACTCCTACCTCAACAACAAGCAGTGCCATGGCTTGGCAGCGGTGGAACACGTGAGGGTAGTCCTGCTGCCCCTGCCTGCCTTCCAGCCCCTGCCCACCAGACTGCGCCTTCTTGGAGGCCCAGGTGAGAATATTGATGCCCGTACCAGACCCTGCCTCCCTTCACGTGGTTATACCCATGTCTCTGTGGAGACAGGCACCTCTCAGGAGGGAACTTCTGAGACAGGAAAATGTGATAACAATGCCGGTAGCTCATACTTGTCTATTGTTGACTGCATGCCAGACAGTGTTCTAAAAGCTTACTTAAATTAATTCACTTCGTCCTCCAAATAACCCTAGAATGGTACTATTAATGTCTTCATGTCACAGATGAGAAAACTGAGGTAGGGTCACACCATCCATGTCTACCCTCAGCCAGGGGAGCCCTTTCCCTCACTGAGAACCAATCTTCCAAGGCACGTCCACCCTCCCAGTGACTTTCCCCAGCAGCTCCTGGGCCCCCGTCTCCTTGCTGGAAAGCTCCTCTTGGGGGTCCGACCTCCAGACCTCCTGCCACAGCCAGCACGCAGCTCCCGGAGGGTGGTGCACGCTCTCCTACCAGCCTTGGGTCTCTCCCTGCCTCTCCCCAGGCCTGGAAGCCGCTCACCCAAGCCTGCTGCTGGCTGTGCTGCTCCCCACAGCAGGGTTTCCAGACACAGCGGAATCCAGCCCCTTGCTGGAGAAGGTTCGCAAGGTGGTCTCCTTCAACAAAAAAGTGGAGATGAGATGCTACCAGCGGAAGGACAGGAGGCCGGATGTGGCCCCGAAGGGCTCCCCTCCCTCAGGGGGCAAAGGCAGCCTGGCTCCAAGGGGAAGCTGTGCTGGGCAGAAGCCCTCTAGAGGCAGGGGGAGACTGTGGGGAGAGCCTGAGACCTGGCGGGGGCCCGGGCGAGGGGAGTGGCCCACAAGACCGGGCTGGTGCCAGTCTTGGCACCCCTCTTTGGCAGTACCAGCTGGCCGGGGCCAGCACCTCCACAGGGCATCCTGTCCCCAGCAAGCCCTGCTCCAGCATCTTGAATCCCTGGTGACGATGAGCCGCCAGCTCCAAGCCTCCCTGAGACCCCCAGGCCAGGAGCTCCTTCCGCAGTCACCTGCAGCCGGTGGAATCCTTGGACTCTTATGCCGGCCTCTGGCAACTCCAGAGCCCCCTGGCCCAGCCCCCGACTCCTCTTTGGGCCCAACAGATGGAGCTGGCTCTGAGTGTCCTCTCCCTGGAGAGACCTGACCCTAGAAGAGGGCCTTTGACTCCCTCCCCAGTGCTGACCCCTGAGCTGTTCCAGGGACATATGGGGGCAGAGGAAGGGGAGGGCCAGCTCAACCCACGCGCCCCTTTTGAGTTTCATGTTTTGCAAACTGTTTAGTGTTGATTTTGGGTTCAATAAAGATTTTGACGAAGTTGAGACTGCATGCATCTGCTGGCTGGGCAGGAGTGTGTGCTGGCGTGGGTGTGTCTGAGATTTTGTGCACAGATGTGGTAGCAAAGCTAACGTGCTGGGATGGAGGGGCAACTTTGCCAATTGCTTGTCTGAGGTCCTTCACTAGCACTGTGTGCCAGGGCACGGCTGTTGGCATGGTGGGTTCTGGAAGCATTTTGCAAGTAATCTGGACTAGGAAGGAGAACAGGTAATGGGAGAGAAGGCAGGAGTAGGGAGGGGGAGAGAAAGAATTCGGCTTTTGAAGGGGCATAGGCACCTAGAGATTGCAATGTTTTTAAAAATTTTCATTACCGAGAGAGATGGGGTGGGGGTGGGGCCACCACCATAGTCCCTATGTGTCTCTGTGTGTGCCTCTGCCTGTGAGCATGTGTGTGTGTCTGTTGTCTGTTGAAGTCGAGAGATCCATAGAGGACTCCTCCTCTCTGTATCTCTTGCCAGCTCCCGGGCACTGGGACTGGAGAAAGCCAAGGGTCTTGGCCTGGCAGGTGGACACTCAGGCTGGAGTTAGGGCTGGATGGTGCTGCTTTGCCTGGGGCCTGGGGTGATCTAACAGCAGCCACAATGGAAAAGCATATCAGTGTGGAGGGTCCTTGGGAGAACTGAGTCTGGGGACTGGCCTGCGAATGAGCTGCTCTTGGCTGCCTAACCCACACGGAGAAGCAGGACGTGGCTTGGAGAACTTCTGATAGGACCCTACCCTTCTCTCCGGGCCTGGGTGCCCCCCTGCCCACCCCTTCTCGAAATCTACCTATGTGCCAGCCTTGTCCTGGACCGTGCTGGACGGATGGGGTGCTTGGGGGAGTCTCTTCTCTGCCCCATGAGCTCTGCTGTTGCCCTACCCGCGGACGACAGCAGAGGGGGCCCTCGGCCTTGGGATGGAGGTCGGGCTGGCAGGGCTAGAGGCCGAGCTGGGGGTGGGGCGAGGTGTGGGATTTTAGCCGAAGGGATGGGAAGCAGGGACCGGGGTGGGGTGCGGGATGGGACAAGGAGAAGGGACGGGTGAACCTGCAGACGGGTCGAAGCTCCTTTGGGAGCTTTCTGGGGAGCGCCACAGCTTCTGTGCCGTATGCAAATGACACAAATTACTATGCAACCTACAGCTCTATTCCGAGCCGGCAATTTGGGTCATTTTCCTAACGCGGTTGAAGGAGGAGGACTTGGAGCGGGAGACGGCTGCGCACCCCCTCCCCCGGGTGCAGCGTTTGCTGCCTTCCCGGGGCGCTCCGGGAAGAGCAAGCTCTGCACTCGGCGCTGAGGCTACCGTTCAGCTTTCACCTCTGTGAGGAGGGGGCTGTAGGCAGACCCCGAATGCTGAGGCCTGCTTCGAGGCTGGGGCTGGTCAACCTGACGCCCACCCACCTGTGGCCCTAGGCCAGCAGTCGCCAACCTTTCGGACCTCACGGACCACCGGTTGGCGACCGCTGCGCGGCTAGTCCAGAGCCCCTGGCCTCTCTCTTTGGCAGAGGAGGCCCGGACTGCGCGTTAGGCGAGCTGTTGCTAGGGGGCGAGGCCGGCGGTTGCTAGGCTCGGTGAGATGTTGCTAAGCAACGCTGGGCGGGGCTCACGTTGCTAGGCCAGAGTAGGAGTCGCCTGGGACTTGGGCTACCAAGCTTCCCTGGGTTCTAGCGGAAGGCGCCCCACGATGCCGTTCTCCCGGCGGCTTCTCGGGCTTCAGCACCGGCTGGACGCCGGCTCTGCGGGTCCTTCCGGTTCACAACCTCCGCGACTCCGTGATCCTCCGGGCCCCGCAGCGAGGAACCCTGGGTCTTTGTGCACGTGTCTTTGCGATTGCTTCTGCCACGAGGTGTGTGTGGGGGCGCTTTTGGGTTTCCATAGAAACTTCTGTGTCATCTCATTGCTTCCCAAGGTTTGAGCAGTTGCTTGTGCAAATTTACATCTATCTGCATGTCATTAACATGGAGGCGGGGCCGGAACTTGTTTGGGCAACTGTCCCTGGACAGTGGACAGGTTCCCTTTGCTGCTGATCCTGCTTGATGGGCACGAGGACTGCGCATGCGTAGGCGGTTTTAAAAGTTTTTATGTTTTTTTAAATTTATTTTATGTTATTATTCTTAATCCTCACCCAAGGATAATTTTTTCCCCATTGCTTTTTAGAGAGTAGAAGGGAGGGAGGGAGGGAGGGGGAGAGAGACACACACACATTGGTTGCCTCCCGCAGGCAGCCCAACTGGAGAGGAACTAACTGGCAACAGAGGTACATGTCCTTGACGGAATCAAACCCTCCACCCTTCAGTGCGCAGGCTCACGCTCTAACCACTGAGCAACCGCCGGGCACATGCGCATTTTTCTTACTAATGTTCCCAGATTTGGGTCAAGTGGGTAAAATGTAATAGTGATCACCGATTCCAGCCCTGGTCACTTTATTGAGCCATTAGGATGAATCCACCGCGATATCACTGACCAAAGACACGCAGGCAGCGGTTGGAATCCCAATTCTGCCCTTTCCTGGCTGTGTGGCCTTGGGCAGGTTTAGTTTCCCTCTCGCCGGCTCCGTTTCTTATGTGAGGATTCCATGAGATGCCACCTCTGCATACACTTACTGCTGCTTCTGACACACAGTAGGCATTTAATGGTGGTTCCCTTCATCTCTCCATAGAGCCCAGCTTCTCTCAGGGCCCAACCAAAGCAAATCGGCTTCCTTTGCAGCTCAAGACATGACAACTAACATCAGGATAAACTTTCAGATGTCAGGGCAGACCGGATTCGAGGCACAGGATGTGGACCATGTTGGTTTGCTTGTTTGTCCTTCTTGGAGGCTGCTGAGGCATGGACCCCCTGCCCCCCATCTCACCACCACCACCACCACCACCACCACCCACCACCACCACACGTGAACACATTTAACATACTTGTCTCTCTCGGGTCAACTATTTCCAGAAACCTTGCATTCCTGTTTCAAAGGTGCTGGAGCTTGAGGCAGCTGCAGCAGTGGCAGCTGAGGTTGAGAGGCTTAAAGAACAAAACTAAGCCCAGCCGGTGTGGCTCAGTGGTTGAGCGTTGACCTATGAACCAGGAGGTCAAGATTCGATTCCCGGTCAGGGCACATGCCCGGATTGCAGGCTTGGTCCCCAGGGTGGGGTGGCAGGAAGCAACTGATCAATGTTTCTCTCTCATTGATGTTTCTCTCTCTCCCTTTCTATCTGAAGTCAATAAATATATATATATATATATATTTTTAAAAGACCAAACTAAGAAGGTGGTGACCAAGAAAATCCCCTCCAGGTCTGAGATGTCTGGGATGGAGCAGGGTAGGGGGAGGTTGGGGGCGGAAGCTTTGCTTGGATACTCATATCTGAGCCCTGGCCAGAGAGGATCGGGGCCCTGGAGTCACTCCCTTGTCCTGTCTGGGCCTTGGTGTCCCATTGTGGACAATTGGGATTCCTCTGCTGTGACTTGGGTAGGGGACAGCAGAGGCCCGCTCAGCAGGGAGACCCTCCCGCGGCTGCAGCTGTATAGCAGTGCACAGGGAGGTCGGGGCTGTGAAAGCAGAGGCCGGGAGGGACCCCCTAGGGTGGCTGGGATGAGCAGCGGATCTCCTCCGGGAAGTTCTTATTCTTATTTGGACTCGAATGGTTCCAGCTGGCCTCTGGAAAAGCTGGTAAGTCCTCCCGGGTCTAGCTGCATCTCCCTGCTCCGGCAGAAGCTCCTTCAGCTTGCCCTCCTTTCTCCGGGTGTCTCTGCTACCTTGACAGCCTTGACTGCCTGGATCAGAGGGGAGGCAGAAGTGCTGGTCGCTTAGTTCTCAGTTACGTTCCGATAATGAAAAGAAATGAGGTTGGCTCCTATCCCGGGTAGAAGAAGGCTGTTGGTGATGAGAGGGAGTGTAGGAGCTGGATTCTAATTGGTCGGTTGGCTTTCTGGAGGAGGGGGCCACACCTTGCAGATGTCACTCATTGTCCTACGCGGGTCCACTTGCCAGTGGATGGCGATGGGCCAGCTCCTTCTCTGGTAGCAACCTGTGCTCATAGGTAAGGGTTCCAGGGACAGGCTGAGAGCCTGGCAGTGCCCGGGGCTGGTCTGCCTGTGTCCCACTCTGGGGGCCAATTAAGTCTCCATCCCTAGTGGCGCCGATTAACAGTTAATAAGGCAGTGAACACCTGCAGCTATAGAGGCGAATTAAGAGCAACAGTCGGCATAGTACACAACCCGATAAGTGAGCAATTAACAACCGGAGAAAGATTAATAGAAGCAATTACGTCCTACTTGGAGCTCTGTAAATACGACTGTCAATGGCTGAGGGAGTCGGCGCCGTCCCACCTGGCCTCACCCCAGGCCATAGCCTCTGCCGGGAGGGGACCCTGCCCAGCTAGATGGCTTCTGGGCCACAGAGCCATGAACACATGAGAAATCCCCAGGGCCTCATTACTGGCCAGGAAGGAGCTTCTGAACAGGGACACACAGACAGAGACGCCGGGATTCACATGGAGACACCCACCCACACGCAGACACAGAAGGGCCCGGATGCAGGCAGGGACTCCCCGTCTAGCGCTCACAGGCACAGGCGCCTTCTCCCAGGCAGGAGCCGCTCACCAAAACCAGAGCTGACCTTTCAGAGAGCCAGGCCCTCACCCGCTCTCTGCCTCCACTGTCTACTGAAAGCAAACAGATCCCAGGAGCCCCCACGCCAAAACATCTGGCCAGCCTTCTTTCTGTTTGACTTTTATTCATTCACTCTTTGTTATTCATCATTCATTCATTCAACCACCAATAAGAACATTAAACAAATCATGACATTCAGTTCAACAACCTGGCTGCCCTCTTGCCATCCTGGCATCCTGACCTGGGGCGCTAGCTGGGGAAGGAGGAAGGGGGGCCTGGGCTGTGCGGGAGGAGAGGGAGGGAGCGGAGGGTGGGTCTCCATTCCCTACCTTTTCCTCAGTCTCTAAAGCCAAAGGCAAGGTGCTTCTTCTGCAGCAGGAGGGGAAGAGCCGAAGCCCAGAATA